GACTGACTGCGTCACAGCTGGTCGAGCTAACGGAGCTTGGGGACGACGGGAGGTAGCATTGACGGTGTTGCAGCTGGTCGAGTTGACGGAAGTGCGGAACGACAATGGAGAGAAAGAACAATGAGCCCAGGGATGCCTAGATCTAGAAGGAAAGGAAACGAACTAACTTTTGAACAGTTGAACACTTTTGGAAAAGAGCCATTTTGAACTGTCAGAAAAGACTTGGATTTTAGTTTTGATTTGTTTTGTTGTTGTTGCATAAGTTATAGATAAGTTAGCTTGGGGACCAAGCTTGGGAGGGAAGGGAATCGTGTAACAAATCAGTGTTTTAGTATTGGACGAAGGTTAAGCATTTTCTGTTGTACGAGCATGCGCTATAGCAATATGGTGCATCGTTGATTTAGCAATTACCAAACTGAAGGAAAATGAGCATAAATTACATATTTTGATCATGTTGGTGCAATTATCATGTTTCTTTTGGGGATATTACTTGTATAGTAGTGATCTAATCAGGAATAAGGGGTTATACTGAAGATTATATGTGAAGATTTTATGGGATTAGCAGAAATGTTGTGTGAAGTGTTGTTTTACTAACGAGGACATAATTGTTCTTTTACACGTTTATGTATAGGGAAATTGTTACGATGGTCAGGGTTGTGCATCTAGGGCTTTCCACTGCACTGTATCCGATACAGGCCAGCCTCGCCGAGGCTGGCCTGATAGTTGGCCTGATAGTTGGCCTGATAGTTGGCCTGATAGTTGGCCTGATAGTTGGCCTGATAGTTGGCCTGATAGTTGGCCTGGCCTAAGTCTCTAAGCTAAGTCTCACATAGTTTGCACCGTACTTGTACTGAGTTTACCCAATTGTTGAATGGATCGCAATAAAGACTTTCAACCTACACATCATGATTGGTTTGATTTCTTGGAGCAGTGAAACCAAGGGACGAGAACCTGTGACAAGTGTTGACAAGGGAAATTGATTGTTCGAAGGATGCTCAATTGATTGATGCTGTGAACGAGACGTTTAGGTGACCGATTGTAGTCGATGGACGAATGATTGTTGAGATACGTGTGAGCAGTTAATAACTCCAGCCATTAAGCTACGGGCATATATTTTGTCCAAACGGACGGAGAGCGCCTGGCCGACACGGGGCATCCTGACAAATATTCCGTGTCAAGCCAAGGTGGCGAAATCGTGTCCGCCACAATACACTAAACAACAAAAACTATGAACTGATTTGGGAAGAAATCGACATGAACATTGAAACTTGTGAAATACAAATAACAAAGTAACAATAACTGGGGGACAGCAAGCTTTCTTGAAGTAGCAAAATTCATATGGGCTTAGAATCATAGTGCCGTCTTTTCACTTGTGCGATTATCCACAATTTAGCTTTTATGCCAACTAGGACGGTTAAATTGACTAAAATATCAAATGTTCGCATTTATATCATTTTTCAGAACCTTGATCAGGGAGATTTCAATATTTGAATGCAACTGTGATTTTCAGAAAAATTCTAATGACACTGATTTTGAGGAAAATCAGGATTGTACAGCGTGTGGTGGGTTCAAGCCCCCCCCCCCCCCTCCCTCCCCCTTCCCCCTTCTCCCCCCTCCTCTTCTCTTTCACTCTCCTTTTCTCCCCACACCTGCCCTCTCTATGCTATGAGTAAGACTAAAACTTTTGGCCCCATGTGATACATTTGAAATTTCCTGTGAGTAATATCTGGTCATTTCAATTAGTGAACAATTCATTTGCTTGGAACCAGAAGGACATACTATCTGTGTGTTAATAGTATCTTAAAGGTACTACTGTATGTCCCATTCACAGCCAACATCAAATTCTGTAGAGCTTTACAGGAATTATGAATATATCACTTAAATCCTATCTGTGAAATTTAAACGTTAGCAGTGTCCTCATATTCAAATTATGCAAGGAAACCCGTTTACTTTCTAAACTTCACTGTCAAGACACTATTGAGTGACTGACCGACTTCTTTTTTCTTTGGTAATAACATACATAAAACAGCTGTAAAGGTTCATGAGCATTTGTCTACATCAATAACCCAATTCTTGTAATGGCTAAAATTAAACTGATTGAATCTTTGCGCAGCACAAAACGTACGATCATTGGGTACAAGGGTCTAACAATCAGAATATTACTAAAAGGATTGCAATCACTAAAGTCAATTCGACAACTAATGGTCGTTATTTTTCCACTGAAGACATTATTATGCCCTTTTGTTTTGAGGGAAGTTCTTAATCAGTGTTATCTTTCAAATGCGGTTGGAATTTAACTTTTTCATTTTGTTGGCCTGCAAATGGGACATAGTACCTTCAACACTGTTATGTCTTCAAACAGTTATAAGGGGATTGAAAAATGAAAAAAAAAATCTCATGAGGAGCCTGATACTGATAGAGAATATCCTTTTATATTCAATTTAAATTCTAGTTCACAAGTAATACATAATTATGTCATTAGCTCTTGAAGAAATGTAATGAAAACACAAGAATTCTTTTTAATACATTATGAGTATTCCTTTTATTACAAATTGTTAAGATACTTATATATGCACAAAGAACTATAGCAGCCAAAATTTACAAGTATGTCATTTTTTATGAACAGCTTAATTTTCATTTTTTTTTTCTTTCATCCCCAAATCCTGAATACATGCAATATCACCTTTTGTATTCACAGTAATATGTTATTAGAAATTCATACCAATGTAATCATGTGCAATAATATAAGAATTTATATTTCTAAATGACTTGGTTGACATTTAAATGATTACAATTCATAAAAAGGGAAAGCCTGGTGCAAATAATCACTTTGTCTGAGTGTTTATCCCCAAGATTGATTGCATGCTAAGAATTGGAATAAATTTGAGCCTCTTTTTTTTCTTTTTCATTTTCATATTTTTATAGGATTTTGAACTTGATAAAATATTATTGTAAGGAAAAACTATTGGTAAATTGCAAGCTAATTATCCATCCTCCCTTTTGAACTTACGTATAAATAACATAAACCAAGAATATATTATATTATTCCACTCCTTCATTAATCATTTGTTGCACAAATCCCAAAATAAAACTACAAAATTCTGTGATAATAATGTTTGAGGGGGGCCTATACTATCGGTTCTTGGGGAGCAAAGTGATTCAAGTTTACCATTCCAAGCCTGAAAAATAATTTGTCTAGGTACTAGGAAGTATTAATTAATTTCTATATTAAATAAATAAAAGGATAGACTATACGGAGGGAAAGAGTCGGGTCGGGGTGATTCCTATGTACAAATATTGCAACTCAAAATATGCATATATATGTCAATATGACATTCGTGCAACCTCATTCAATAAGAATTGTTTTAGCATTCCGTACAAAATCAGTTACTACAACCATGATCAAAGTAGAAAATTGTTGTTATTAATACCGAACATTTCAATTATTATATATATATTTGGAATATGAATATATGAATTTAAGTTAATGAAAAGATTATTACCTTTATATTAGATAAATCTTAAATTACCAATTAGTTTGAGATTTAATATCATACATCCATATATGAGTAAGGCCGTATCATAGGAATTTCATTGGTGAATCCTACAAATTAAAATTCAACATGCTGCCCAGCAAGTAAAACCTGGTCGCAGTTTCAAAGAGTTGTAATAGTGCGAGCTTTCAAAAATTTGTGAGTCTTGTTAGTTTTCCACATGAAATAAAATCCAGTCAGTAAACAGGACTGAGCAGTGCATTGCATACATGGAAATTTACAGAAATAGGATGACAGAAGGATACAAAAATAAAGACTAACATAAGGAGAGGATGAAAGATAGAAAGTCAAAAACAAAGAAATTTTAGAAAATGAGAAAAGCCAATATGAGAAAGATGAAAAAAAGTGGTCACATGACTTCAAGTCACCATCGCCAGAATTCGAAATAAGGATGGGAGAGGAACGTCACGGTCGAATAAACTCTACATCCTGTAGGCTCTATTGTCCTCTTTCGAAAACTCTCTTAACATTTCTAACATATCGCCACATGCAGTATGAACTAACCAATTCATATACCATGATTATATCAAAGAATTTCTAGTATTTAAATGCCTCTCTCTCCCCCCAAAGAAAAAAAAAAGGCTTCTAATATGCCAGTATCACTAACAGCAAGCACATACCAAAGCAAAACAACTGGTACATTAAAAAGTAATTTTATAACTTTTGAGATACCAACGTTGGAAAAAATATGCTATGTATTTATTGGTTCGAAAATTGGAAAAATTCAGTAATACCATGATGTATCCGGCATATAACAGCGTTTTTACCCTATATTCAAAATCAAATTCAAATGTTCCCTATGGCAAACCTAACACTACCACCATGCGGATTGACCACTACATTACTATTTGGTAAAATGCCTCTTCAATTATGCCAATCCTTTATTTGCCTGATTGTACAGGCAGTCACAAAGAGATTTGTTTACATGATACTGTAAGCATTACTTATTATTACATTGTTCTTAAGGGTTGTTCAGATATGGCGAAGTAAACCGCCACAGAAAAAGCTGAACAAGCCTTACCTTGCCTTAACCACACCTACAATGGACAACGGAAATGGCAATTGCATGCAATGTGAGCCATACAACATTTGACGATTATCCATCTAAATATGACAATCTCTTGACAGAACTGTTTGCAAAACGGATCTTTCTTGTATGAATAATACTACTAATTAGTCATGTCAAGAGATTTGTCATTTTTGGATGAAATAACTGGGGGAAGAAGCACTGCATGCCTTACAGGACACATTAGACTACAAGGCATTGCTCAAATATAACACTCCTTGAAAATGAGAATGATTCAATTCGAGGAGTCATTGACACAAAGATGTAACTCCATTTTGGCCATTTTGAGAAAAAGTGTTTTGTGTGTCACTGAGCACTTGGGCCTTAAAGGGTTAAGTCTATGTTTCACTAGCCATTGACTTCAATGGGGTGTTGGGTGGAGTTAAGTCTTTGTGTTTCCTGGAAAGCCCACATTTTTCTAAACATTTTGATAAAATTTTGGCAAAATATGGAGTTAGGTCTTTGTGTCACTGAACCCTCGAAATAAATGGGGGAAGAAGCACTGCATGCCTTGCAGGACACATTACAAGGCATTGCTCAATTATCCCACTCATCTAAAATGAGAAAAATTCAACTGATATTTGACCTTTACATACATAATACTCTGACAGAGATGATCCCGAGACTACCTGAAGCTGTTGCAGTTTAATACGAGTTGCTAACACATCGTCTTCCAAGCACCAACCCACGTTTCACCTACGTCATGAATCCTCCTCCTCTAGCTCCTCCTCTGTCTCCTCCACTGACACTGCATTGTTGTTTGGGTTGCTCGTGGAGCCCGGCTCAACCCCTATCGTCGACGAGTCGCTCCGCAGACGTTGCATGATGATCGTACGACAAAGAGGGCACTGTTCGAGCTGGATTGCACAGTCTGGGCAGAAGCCGCTATTGAGCACCAAAAAAAAATAAAAAAATGTTGATGTCTAATAAATGGATGTAGACCTGGGCCCCATCTTACAAAGAGTTGTTTTTGATCCAAATCAATCGCAAGTCCTCCAATCAATCGCAAGTTTGCAGTCTCTTATCTCTTATGTACATAGTTGTAGGTGATATCATTTGCAAATAAGTTTCCATTGATATCAACTCTTTGTAAGACAGGGCCCACAATTTCCACGGGACATAACTTCAGGTAGCGTGAAAACTATTCAAAAACCTAAATTCAACCCAGTTCACTGCCGTGTGGCATAACGTACAAAGCGGTACATGGCCGTAGTTTTGATTTTACCAGAATGCGTGGCAGATACAGCCATTTTTTTTAACGAGGAAAAAAATTTGTCTAAAGTTGTGCCAAATTTGGGCCCCTTTGGAAAGTTTACGGTGCCACAAACTTGTTCCTACCCTAGACCCCAATATATTATACTGATATTTTTCACAAATTTAAAGATAAAGTTGAGAACTGATCATGCAATTGCATTGTGAAAGAAAAGGTGTGAAATGGATCAGAAAAATTTGATCATGTAGCATGAAAGTATTGGTGTGTACGGCAAGGTTCTGGAGTCATCAAAACCATAATAAATTTGGCCCAGTCTTGGTAAAGTAACAAGCACTGTACACAGAAAGATGTATATAGGACTACACATGGTGTCGGGCCCTGACTTACCTTGATTTCCTGATCTTTCTTTGCTCATTACTCAGCCAGTATACATTTTCTACCAAAAATGTTTGGTAAATAACATTTATTTGTAATCTTGAACATTCAGTGTAAGTTTTGTTTGATTCAGTGAGAATTCATTTTCTTTTTTTTTTACCAGAACTCAAGTTTATCTTTAAATCTTGGATTAAAAACCAATGACACAACAAGAGAGGTTGATTTTCTCACCCGTGTCCACATGGCCTGAAGGTTACACTGGCTTCCTTGTCAAAACACAAGCTACACGCCGTTTCACTGATGCTCATCTGGTGAATCAGCTCCATCTTTTTATGCCTGGAGGGAAAAAGGAGAAGGAGAAAAGAAATATGAGGTACAGTGTATCAATACACAACATTCTTACCATAACAATTAGTAAATTGTTCATATAATTGGCTAATTACATGGCAACGTCATTCAGTGATTTACAGGGTGTCCCAGTAAAAAGTACAAATGTTTGTTAACTAATTGATGGAAGAAGAAAAAAAAATTGTTTTAGCAAATTCAATGAAATTTGCCCAAATACTCTTTTTTGATGAACTGGGGACAGATATTTACCCTGGACAGATTTAAAACATGAAAAAATGTCTACCGGTAGTTGAAAATTTTGATTTTTTTTTTTTTTGATTTTTTTTATTTATTTTTTTTTATTTTTTATTTTTTAGCCCAAAATGTTGAATTAACCCTTTGCTATTTTGGTTGAATTCAATCAACTGGGTCATATTCATCCTGGTTTAGATTTTTGATATTTTTAAAATAAAATAGTTGAAATTTTTAGATTTTTGGCCAATAATGCTGAATTAACCTTTATGTTCATCAAATTTCATTGTTTTGAGTCATTCAGTAATCATGATTTAGCTATATTTGGTCGAAACCATATTGAAAGATCCCATCACCGATGTAGTCAACACTACCTATACATGCCCTCAAACTGAGCAGGGGGGTGTTTCACAAAGATCCTAAATTGAACTTATCTCTATTAAAGTTGAAATTAACAATTATGGAAAGCTGTTAGCATCTGTGAAAATATTATGTAAAAGTTATTTTAAAATGCATAAAACGTCGATTCAAATCGTTCATATTTTCTATTATCAAGGAGATTTTGTGTTCTTGATGTGGAATTTATGTAAAGTCTAAAATACTTGAATTTTACTTGAAGGTTACAAATGGCTCTCCATAATGTTTAGGTCCAACTTAGAGTTAAGTTTGACTTAGGATCTTTGTGAAACACCCCCTGGGCTGGGCTGTACATGTTACAACCCTCCCTTACCTTGGAAGGATCTTCTTCTCCTCAGCCGTAAGCTTGGCATACTCATTGAACGTTCTGAATGGACCAGCAGGAGGGTACTTGAAGGGGGTCAGGCCAAAATTAAACTCGCACTGTTGGAAGGACATGAAACTAGCAGCAGCGAAGAAGCCAGTCCTGCATTAGCAATATAAAAAGATGATATCATAGTACACAAATTCTGAATCCCCTGTCGTTACAGCCTTTTAATATTCCTCCAAAATATGAAAAGTTGGAACTTGGCAGCTATGTATATGAGGAAGACCTGCATATGCATCAGTTGGACCATGCATTAACAATAGCGAGCAGAATTAATTTGAATATCAATTGACAACTGAAACTGTGACACAACCAATGAAGTCTATGGACCATTGTAGCAGCATCTTAAGTATTTATATCAGAGCACCTGTTGAAAGGAGTGCACTGATCTGCCTTCAGGAATCGGCTAGTTCTTACACTAATAGTTGTGTTCTTTTTTCAGACCGCGAATGCCTTCAAAATGCATGGTTATTGCTCTTAATTCTTATTTATGCCATTATATGCCATAATAATAATACACGGGCCAGCTGGTTGTGCGTATTATAACCAATACGAAAAAGCCAACATTGGCATTGGTTGGAACAAAACGTATAAGGCGCTATCTCATTTTTTCAACGGCCAGTTCAAAATCATAGAATATTTGTGGTGCCTCACAAATATAAGAAATGGTTATATTTATGGATATTTCAGCCATTCTGAACCGATTTTTTCATTTATATTGTATATTCTTTAATATATGACACTCAGTTTTTCATTAACTTACAACAAAAAAAAAATTTGTGTAGCGCCCCCTGCAACAAATTTCAACTATCCCTTTAGGCTAAGGGGACGGAGAAAAGTCAGTAGTCAAGAGGTTAGTAGTTTGCAACACACTTACTGAGCTGATGCAAAGACCTCACTCTCAGGGGGAAGGATGTTACCGTTGAGTGAGAAAGCCATGTACTTCTTATCCAGGTCCAGTAAGAACCCAACGATGTCACCTATGGATGGAACACAAATCAAGTAATTGTTATCATCATTACCTATCATATGAATCAAGACAAGAAGAAGTGGAGGGAGGGAGTGTCATGGCGCCAAAGTCTGAATCTCCTGGCATAAATGATTGAGATGTGCCAATAGGGCGTTGTGGCGTGCGCCTGTAATCCAGCTAACAATGGAATTTACAAACTGATTCAGTCGAGGACGCAGATTCGAAATTGAGTCACGTCTTTCAAGGGAGGGGCACACTAACACAAAGTGATGGGACATTAAAGATTGGTCCACAGACTTAAATAATCATATCTAATTGATACACGTCTGTAAAAACCCAAGTACACACACACACACACACATGTGTACGACAACCATGTTTATCCTACTCACTTACAAAGATTGCAGTGGGTTTCGACAGTAACCTTGCCTTTGTCTAATGAACAAGGGAGGGGCACACTAACACAAAATGATGTAACTGCAGCTATACCACCATTATCATATCCCCAAAGGTTACTATTTATGCAGGTTGTTATCATTCATTAGCAGCTATATTAGCATCAACTCTTCTGCTTCATATTAAGTTACATCACATCAGGGCCCCGTCTTACAAAGAGTTACGATTGATCCAAATCAATCGCAAGTCCTCCAATAGTTAAGTTTGCAGTCTCCTATCTCTCATGTACATAGTTGTGATTGATGTGACATCTTTGTAAGACGGGGCCCAGGTGTACGTCACTAGTCACATTATTTGAATTTTCAAGAAGTTCAGACAAACGGCCTGAAGACGTCGACTAACCTGACTTCCAGGGAGGATGGCGATGTGTTCTGCTCTTAGCGTTATACCAGTACAGCTGCCTGCATCCATCATAGGAGAAGGAATACTCATCATCACCTATACCAAATCCTTCCTGTTTAATAGAAGAAATGAAAAAATACAAAAAAGCGTGGTCAAAGGAAATTAAGTGATTTTTTTATAAAAACATTTAAAATTGTTCAAAGAGAATTCAGAGATTTTAATTTCATATCAGTCATTTAAAGATAAAGGTGAGTTCTGGTAATGCTATTGCATTGTGAAGTAAAAGGTGTGGAATGGATCAGAAAAAGTTGATCATCTAGCATATAAGTATTGGTGTGTACTGCAAGGTTCTGGAGTCATCAAAATCATAATAAATTTGGCCCAGTCTCGGTAAAGTAACAAGCACTGTACACAGAAAGATGTATATGGGACAACACAAATAGTGTCGGGGCTACTATACATTGGTTTCCTTATCTTTCTTTGCTCATTACTCAGCCAGTATACATTTTCTTCCAAAATTGTTTGGCACATGACATTTATTTGTAATCTTGAACATTCAGTGTAAGTTTTGTTAGATTATGTGAGAATTCATTTTCTTTTTTTTTTACCAGAACTCAAGTTTATCTTTAAACATAACTGCCTGCCAAATAATGTTAATTTCAATTGCAAAGAGTCTAAAGTAGTTTAGTAAACATTCTGACAAACATTCGGAACAGGTAAAAACTGAACGAGCATTTTTTCTGCAAGAAATTGTTTTGACTATTGGTGACCTGAAAAAAGAGGCTCAACTGCAACTATAGCTGTAGGAATACATTTCATGATATAATTTTACTTACATGATTGAGGAATTTGCTGTTTTTTGTTGCCCAGCCGATCTGCATGACACCGTTCGTGATGACCCGTACTTCGTAATACCAGACACCTTCATCCACACAGAATGTACAGCGGACACTCTCAAATGATAACACATCGCTCCTTGCCTTGAGGAGGGGAAAAAGGGGAATATATAATTATTATTTTTGAACATATTTTAGGAGTAATGAAAGTAAAAAAAATCTGTTTTATTTGTATCTATTGGCATGCTTTTGGATGATACTGTATGGGAGTTCCAAGATGAATGTAAGTGTCCCCAATATATGACATGGCATAATGGAATAATAAAAAGAAATTTGCGATTGAAAGTACTATTATACTTGAATAATAATAATAATAATAATATACCGTACTTATATAGCGCATATCACAATTTGTCTCTATGCGCTGTAAGAAAGAGTAAGAAGGAAAAGTGGATAGAGTAACATAAGAAGAAAGAATATATACTTGGATATGTACCAACAATAGTAGGACTATCAACTTAATGAAATCACAAGTTAAACAAAAAAAATCTTGTGCTGTCAATAGTTTCTACTTGGCCATTAAAATGGGGAAGTTGTGGGCTCATTTGGAGAGAATTTGGAGAGATAAAAGAAAGTGTCAAATTTTCACTGCATCTCTTCTCATTGCAGGTCATTTCACTTGAGTGCCTCATTAACAACATACAATGGTGACGGCAAGAGAGTCCTTTATAATACGCCCTTCTTTATCCTTCCATCATGTTCTTGTGGAAACCTGCTTAATGCCTAATTAACCATCAATAGTATTCCCAGGGCCCTCCTTAATTAAGCCCTCTTTATCCTTAATCCTTCCATTGTGTTCTTGTTGAATACTGGCCGCTTAACACCTCACAGGGGTGATAGTGAGCACTATTTTTTTCCCCCTCAACCATGCCCCCCTTGAGTAAAAAAAAGAAAGAAGAGGATTCAGGGGGGGGGAAGAAAAAAGAAACAAAAATCTGGAAAAAATTGGTTCATTCTTCTTTATTCCTCTCTTTAATATGACAACAAAAGTTTGCCACAATCAACCCATGGCCTACATATCTTACTTTTATGAGAATCTTTACATTTCTTTTATGGTTCTTTGGGGGGGGGGTAAGTCTTTTGAGGATATAAAAAAAAGAGGCTGTGGGTCTTTTTGATTGCCCGGTTTCAGCCCTCTTTCAAACAAAGATTGTGCCTTAACTAGCACTAGACCAAAATGCTATACCTAACCCTAGACATAACCTAAAACTCAATTACAATCCTAACCCTAACCCTTGGACAAATTAAAGCCTGGAGCAATTGTCACTGCAGTACATTTTGGACTAGTTTGAAGACACTGACACTGACCCTTGTCAAACGTAATGCAAAGTAGAGGGCCTGAGCAAGGAGACTATACACAGATGCAGTAAGTAGGCCATGTACTAAACAGAGACTGACAAAGTTAGGCTCTACTCTAGAATTTATGGAATTGTGTTCAGGCGACAAATGAGAGGCTATGCCTGCATACAAATGTCGGATCACCGCTATGGGCAACAACGGGGCGTTGTGGCGTGCGCCTGTAATCCAGCTAACAATGAAAGCTACAAACTGATTCAGCCTAGGATGCAGGTTCGAAACGAGTCACTTCTTTTGGATAGTGACGTTAAAGGTCGGTCCCCAGACGTAGATAATCATAATATCCGATCGATACACGTCTGTAAAAAAAACCAATTACACACACACAACAATTTTTGTCCTTGGGGGACATAGTCTTACCTCAAGGCCATTTGGAGATATCTTCAAGTACTCGCTGACATCATTATCGTTGAGCATGGCGTTCAGTCCATCAAGATCAATGGTTTCATAGGTCAGTGACCTTCCCTGTACAAAGACTGATAAATGGATTCAAAAAACATTTATTGATATGTCAACAAACCCTTTTGGAAACTTAACTCTGATATCACTTTTGAAACCCTTAAATTAAGTAAAACTTAGAATTTGAATAACTTGGCTCATAACTAATACCTACGCTACTTCCTTGACTTCCTTGACTGACTCTACTGCTGCTACTAGGCTCTACTTCTACTACTTACCAATATTCCCACAACTTTTTACCACCACTAATGTTTCTACATGTACTACACCTATTAATATTTCTCCTTCATCTGTAGTAATACAACAGCAACAACTACCGGTACTATAAAAAAGGCTACTTCTGCAACTGCAATTTAACAATACTGGTCATAGGTCACCTATCAACACTAGCATATAAATTGCAACTTCACTTTGGTGCTGTGACTGATGTTGAGTAAAATTTAGTACAGTCAAACCTGCTTTAGTGACCACCTGTCTTCAAAAGACCATTTTTTTTTCTCCTTTGAAAATGGTTTCTCATTGAAACATGTACTAAAGGAACCTGTCTACAAAGACCACTTTTTGTGTTTCCCTTGGGCGGTCGCTATAGATAAGTTTGACTGTACAATCTTATAATCTCCTGAAGCATTCATGATATACTCACAGACATTGTCAAGGCACCATCTTGCGCAGAATCCGACCTGCCTGTGGTCTAGGTCTGAACTCTCAGCCCACTGGGCCAGGGGTACCAGCTTTTCAGCAATGCCCGCCTTCTTTATCGTGAGCTTGTTTTCACCTGGGAAAGAATCACATTGTTTGCCATTCGTTATAACTCATAGACTTTCAAATCCTCTCTTTCCTGTATAACCTTTGACCTTTGACTTACTTAACCTAAAATACAATCATATCGTCTTCTTACGGTGATACAAATTTTCACCTGAAGCTTACCTGTTTATCACTAGTGGTTCTTGAGATATCACAAGAACGAAAGAGACGGACAGAGAAACAACCCCCAACAAATAATTTCTCCAGCTGTCTGGCACCACCTTTGGCGGGCGGATGCATACAATTAAAAAAAAAATTATACTGCATTACATCTGCACCAGGCATTTTAATACTAAATATGGCACAAATATATCTGATTGACATGATAACTATCCAATCCATGATTCCATTTTCTTGACACAATATACCTCTCTTCTGAAACATTTACATAGACAATGAAAACAAATTAAAACTACAGAGATATAGAAAATAAGAGGAAGAGAATGAGGGAAAGGAGGGGGATCAGGGGCAAGAAGGAGTGGGGGATATATGAGAAAGATAAGAGACAGAATAGAGGGGAGGGGGAAAGAGAGAGAGAGAAGGGGGCAAGAGGTATGGTAGAGGAGTCAGAGATAGGGTCAGAGCAACAGGAAAGAACAGATGAAATATATAAAGAATATGGTTAGGAGTAATAAGGACAGTATGAAAGGTAGGGACAGGAACAGAAGAAGAAAAAAATGATAGATAAAAAAAATGTATACTCACTGGTTTGTGAAAACTTCTCAAGAGCAATGAGGGCATACAATGTTATTTGTGGATTTACTTTGCTGGCCTGCAAAATAAATATGAGAAAAGGAAAATAAAAGAATAGATTTTTTTAAAATACACGATACTACAAAAATAAGCAAAGGATACCAGTATGTACCTGATTGGAAAGCCTTGTTGAGATGTGCAACGGTTAATAATAATATAATAATATTTAATTTTTATATAGCGCTTAATACAAATGTCTCTAAGCGCTTTACAAATATACTATTACCCCGGTCATTGGATTCAGTGCTTCCCCGCACACACTGTGTGCACAATCTCCACTCCCTGGGGAACATTCCAGCCGGGCGTTACTTGACGCTCACAATCTGTTTGACCAACAATGACGCCCACATCCTACCGGGTACCCATTTGACACCTGTAGCGTTTGTATTTTTTAATAACGTAAGTTGTAATAGAGTGGTGAAGTGTGACGTCATCAAAAATCTATTTTTAGAATTTCTCAATTTTTTCTTCATATTCCGAAAGAACACCAAAAATAATGTCCAAATGTCGAAAATCAATTGAATATGTTAAGCATTAGCTGAGTTATGACCATCTGAATAATTATATGACCTATGGGAACTCAGTGTTATATGCTCTGGCTCCTAACCATATTTTATAAATGAGGTTGCTACATGTATTTACACACTTACCAATAAACTGAACAAGTACTCAATGATTTCTGGCACTAGAAGGGAGACACTTTTGGGACCAGCCAGCTTCTCTGCGATGCAGCCCAGGACGGCCGCAATGTTCCGATGACGCTGAGGTTTACACTTGGCCTCGCTCGCTAGATGGGCAGATATACCAAGGGCTTTGTACAACCTTTGGACAGTTTCCTAATGGAAAATTAAATGCAAAGAAAATATAAGCACATTCATATATTTACTGCAAATTCCTCGGGGGTGTTTCACAAAGCCTTTTTTCAATGACAACTGACAAAAAAAATCAGTGACAAATCTGCTGATAACCAATCAGAAGCAAGGATTTCAGTAGCTTATAACAAACACTGTCATTTGTCACTGATGACAAGTTTTGTGAAACACCCCCCCCCCCCCCCCCCCCCCAGATTTCTAGGCCCTGTCCAGTCGCCAGAGATTTGTATTGATTAGAATTTGATATTAATTATCAAATATCAAATGTGAAAGGGTCTACACACCATGACAGGGACGGGCACTTGTAAATAAGACAGGTTATATTTTCATCTAAAGGTTTTAAAGATGAAGTTGAGTTCTGGTCATGCGATTGCATTGTGAAAGAAACGGTGTGGAATCGACCAGAAAAGGTTGATCATCTAGCATATAAGAATTTGTGTGTATTGCAAGGTTCTGGAATCATCAAAATGATAAGAAATTTGGCCAAGTCTTGGTAAAGTTACAAACACTGTACACAGAAAGATGTATATGGGACTACACGAACACATGGGGTAAAAATCGTACCCGGATTTTTATGATGTTACATGACATATTTAGAATATGAAGGCATTTGAAGAGCCATGCTTTTCAGGCACATCGCTGTATAGATGTATTGGGAGCTATATAAAAAGCGGACTATTATTATTATTATTATCACTACCAACTAAAGAATAAAAGTGTGAAAGAGGTAAAAAAAAAAAGGGGGGGGGGGGGTGTCTACTCACCATGGTGGGGAGGGGGCACTCATCTATAAGAAGGGTGATTACAGCAGGTCCCAATGGGTCATCCATTGGGATCACTCTAATCATCGCCTGGACTACCTTCGACCATCCATTTTCTGAAACAAAACATACATGTAATAAAACATGAAATAAATTAATAATCACTATCAAATTTGGGTTTATATGTAACATAGATTAGCTTGAAATAATCAAAGGATTTTTGATTTACACTATGAAAGCAATGCATTTTAATAGCCAAAATTTCACTAAAAATATGGAAGTTGATCATTGAGCAAAATACTAAAACTTTTAATGTCTGACATACAGTAGGATGTAAATGTACCATGATATGAGAACATTCAAATTTCAATGATATATTATGCCATAATTATGGCATGAATTTTAAATAGAATCAAATACAAATGCCATTAATTAAAAATCCACTGAGAATTCGCCATAAAAGAACAGTAGAATAGTACACAGTTCATTTAGTACCTGGTAAACATGATGACATAGATAAAAGATGACATAGATAAAAGATCACACAGATGTAATGATTCTGTATCTTTTTCTGTATGTATCCTGTAAGCTGGTAATGCTACATTTTCCATGCAATACCAAGCTACATGTATGGTCAATGCTAAGTAAATTCTTGAATTCAAGCGAATGGCGACCTAATTAGGGGAAATTCGCAACACTTACTGTAAATTAGAGGAAATTTTCTGTAAGGCATTTCGTCAAGAGGCCTATTAGCGTGTGATCATTAGTGGATAATTATCTGTCATTTATGAGCAAAACTCTCCCTAAAATTAATTAAATAAATTAACCTTTACTTTAGGAATTCCAAAGAGTTATAATTGGTCTAGTGGACAAGGGGTTTGGGCTCTTTGAAATTTTCTTACACCGAGGCATTAGTAGACACTTTTGCAAATATCACTGATTGCTGAACTCCAAATGTGTGCTGTACTTGAACCTGTCCATATGTAACTTAATTCTATTCTATCCCCTCCTCCCTCCCCTCCACAAAACATCCTTGTGTACTGTAAGCCAATATTGAACATAGATGGTAAATGAAAGGTATCACTATGAACATGGAGGACAAAGAAAGCGGACAAAATATACAGTTCCTCAGGTAGACAAAGGAACATCCCTTCACTGCTATTATGTAAAAAGGTGAATATGCATGTGACACCTGTTCTACACATTTCTACATAATAGCAGTGAAGGGATGTTCCTTTGTCTCCCTGAGGAACTGTATATTTTGTCCGCTTTCTTTGTCAGTCATATTCATAGTGTATTATCAGGGAAAAATTATATGAAAGGACGAATCCTGAAGGAAATTGGGCTTTTCTTATCACGGTTTTATGCGTTATTATGTGACTATTAGTATTAATTACAAGTATTTTTTCCCTTCCCCCTCCCTGTTTTTTTTTTTGAGAGAGAGGGGGAGGGGTCACTTTTGCTCTTTCTAGAGTTTGCAGGAATTTTGTAGGAACAATTTTTTTTCTTCTCTGGAAACAGACAACTGAAAGAATATTCTTTTCAAATGTTTTCAGTTCCCATATCATTTTCTAAATTTTCCAACTATTAATAGGTCAGAGTACCAGAATTTACATGATTTTTTTCATCATGAAGCTCATATAACAAGGAAATGATTACATGTAGCTTCCACACACATGTACATGCCTGAACTATATTGTGAGTCCTAACCTACATGTAGTAGCAGTGTTGCAATGATTAAATAATTGGTTACGGATTCAGATAATAAATCATCTTTACAGGATAGGGAAAAAACATTGATTTTGTGAGACACCATGTGTCATCTCGTGCACACACATTATATAAATAGATTTGCTAACCCGGATACACACATGTCTATTGTGTTCTAAGTTTCTAACCCATTTTTGCCTAGAATACATATACATGTATCATGTACACTGTAGAAGATTAACCCCATTTGTGGCTCTTTGCCCCCAAGTTTTTAAAACAATTGTCATGAAAAGCACTTATAAAATACAAGTGTTAAATGTATATTCCATTGGATGAATTCCACGATAAGGGTAGGATAAGGGATGTGTATGTGTTTGGGGGGGGGGGGGGATAGGGTTGTGTGTCTGGACACTTAACAAAATAAAACCTGCTCTTTTGCTGTTGCAATTTAGAAAAAAATCATATAAAATAGCAATAACTGCCAATATTATTAGCCATTTTTATGATATTTACAACACGTCTGTTGAAAGATTCATGAAAATTCAAGTGAAAAAGTGATCTACATGTATTCACTGTTTGAAAACGGGCTGTCTGAACAACCAACCTGTCCAGACACACAACTTGTGGGTATACATATTTCTGTTTCAGGATGAAAAATAGAAATATTGGTTAAAAACTTAAAAAACAATGGTTGGGACTTGGGAGGGTTTGCTGGCTAGCCGTCCACTGCATACATGTAGAAGAGGTTAAATACAAAGAACCAATCATAAACCACAGGTACATGTATGTCTACAATGTGGGAGGCCTATGACATTCATTCTTCCTACATGTACATGCATTTATACAACACAAAGGCCCGAATTCACAAAGCAAGGTTTGAGCTCAGACCAAGGTTTGAGCTCAAACCTCCTTTTGTTTCGCCAAACCTCCTTTTGTTCTTTACAAACCAGGTTTGTAAAAAACGCATAAAACATATCATATGACGTACGAAAACCAAGGTTTGTCGACAAACCTCCTTTGTGAATTCGGGCCAAAGGGATTTGGGGGTGTATTTAGAGTCATGGATTGAAAGGTCACAATTTTACATTTACATTAATTCAACTTCTTATTCGTGTAGGCTCGTAATTTCTCTGAAAAATTGTGAAAAGAGAGCCTTTTCTAACAGATTCCTTTTCAATATATACATTTACAACTGTAATACAATGCTTAATTTTATTGTCATTCATTTCTTTCAAAGAAATCCTCACTCGAGTCACGACAACTAGTGAAAATCTAAGCTACCTTTCACTAATGATTAACACAGTAGCCTACAAATACATATTGTGTACACACATGCAGTGTCTCGATCTTGCTATGCAACACTAGAAACACTCCTCAGAGTGACTCATTCTATGAGAGTGCCATCCAAATTCAAGGATGGAAATCATCGCATTCACAAGGGAATCGACGTTTGGTTATGAATGTACGGCAAGGGTCTGTCTGCCTGCCAGGCCACTTTCTTGACAATAACAGGATGACGGACTTGCTACTCTACCGCTAGATTTCGGTTTTAAGGCAAACTGACCCTCGTTTATAGGTACTACATACATGTAATATTACAATTAGGAGTGCACTGTAGCTACATGTACATGTAATAGGGGTTACGTTGACATTACAAAATTTGTAATATCCAGGGGTGATAGTGAGCACTAAAAAAAAAAAAGGCTTTTTGTTTTCCCCTCGACCACGCCCCCCTTGAGTAAAAAAAAAAAAAGAGGATTCGCTGGGAAAAAATGGCATCTCACAACATTCCCCCCTTTCGAGTAAGAAAATTGGGAGTAAGAAAATTGGGAGAAAAAAAATAGGGCAAAATAGGGAAGAATAGAGAAAATAAGAGGGAAATCGGGAAAATCAGGATAAAAAGGGAAGAAAGAAAAAATTGGTAAAAAAAAAAAAAAAAAAAAAAAAAAAAAATCTGGATTTTTTGTTTTTGTTTTTAAATCGGGAAGAAGAAAAAAAAATCGGGAAACCGATTTAAATCGGGTTTTTATCACGCCTGAATATCATGGTTCAAAGGTGGAAAATGAATATGGGATGAATCATTTGGGGATTGTGATTTCAATTACATATAATTTCCGTTTTAATTTACCGGTACAATATCCCTGACTGCCCTGAGTATGCGCACATTTAAATATAATTCATAACCTTGAATATAATCGTCAATTTTTTTTGACAGATGTACACTTTATGCTACGGTCACAAAAGTTTTGTACGAACGATAATTTTGTACGAATCTCTGTTTTTTCATTGTCTGAAAATCGTTCGTACGGCTTTCGTAGCAGTTCCTAATGGCAAAATAGCATGTACAAATCTCATGAAATCAATGCATTTTGGTAAAGAAGAATATGCTGTGGTACTGTACAATATTGAATATTATTATTATTATTATTATTATTATTAATATTGAAATTTGATCACCACCTCCCCCTGAGTTTAACATCATTTATACCGTCTTGATATTCTTTTATCTATCTTGTGAGTTCGGTCAAAAATGGGATTACATTAGTTGAGCCATTTAAACTGCTTCAAATACAGGTACTATCATACCGATATAAAATCCAATTTCATGTAAATGTAATTTTATGCATCAGTACACGACTACTGCAAAGTAGATGTTTTCTTACAATACAGCTGCTACAATGTCATAGTGAAATAACATGCTTAAAGGTAAGGCTGTGCACAACAGTGTAATGAGGTACCCGAGTACACTCCCAGGTTTACAATCGAATACTTGAATATTCGGACGCCATGTTTTTTTATAATTTTTTTGATTTTTTAATTTTTTTTTTGATTTTTTGATTTGTTTTATTTTGTTGATTTTTTTGCCACTACCATACCACTGGTGCAGTATCCCAGTATCGCCGAAAACGCATGCAACTTTACTTCGAGTTGCAGTTGCAGGCGCCGATTTAATAATAATAATAACAGTAAACAATGCTGTTTTAAAAACCAAAGATGGCAGAATAATCCATTGTCCTCCGAGTCCAAACAAAAATCCAGACATTTGGTCCCAGTTTCTGAGTGGTGAGTTTGACAGTGCTCGAGTTGGGAAACATTTTTACCGACGGTACCATGCCAGCGGCCGCCGCTCTCCCTGGCACGGGTAAGCGTTGGCCTGGACATTTTTTTTATTTTTAATTTTTTTAAAATATAATATAATTTAAATATTCGGGTACGAGTAGTTGTCAACCGTGCGTGTACTCGAGCATTCGACTACCCGTCGCAGCCTTACTTAAAGGTATTACAAAATTTTGGTATGGGGTCATGAATTTGGTTCAAATTAACATATTGGAAGCATATGCGTTCCTACATTATTCATTGATCTTTGTCCCAGTTGAAATCAATTGTAAAGTTATGAAATTATAAA